AGGCAGGTATAGACCTTTCCTGCAGACCCTTCTTGTCTCATTCAACTTAAGTGTTTCTTTCTTAAAAAACCAAAGGTACACACACACAAACACACACACACATATATATGAGAAAGTATAAGAAAGTTCATGGTGTGGCACGTTATAAAGATTTGCCCCAACATCTTTGGGAGCTAATCATCATTGGGTCACAGAAAAAAAGTTGTGATATCATTAAGGAAGGCTGTGAAATCCTATTAATTTACTTACGGAAGGATGCTTTCTAAAAACAGGGCCACCTTTCATTTTGTAGGATGATTATTAAAGCATAGTCCCACTTTAAAGAGGACCCAAGTTTCTATTAACTTCTTAATTAGATTTTACATCCTGCAATCTAATTTCATGAATAAATACTACTTGTAGACATCTCAAAAAACACCCCACTCATGGCAGTGATTTATCCCATGGTAGTGAGTTAACTCTCTCCCAGGCTTTCTTTTTCTTGCCAGTATTTGTAAAAAGAATATTGTAGCTATGCTGCAACTATTTTAAGGAGTTTTAAATGAAAGCAATATGTTTCTTAACTCTAATACATATATTTATAACTGCACTTTAATCTACATCAACTCTTTTCTAATGACAGGCCACTTTACTTTGGGCTTATTTGGATAACACTTTCTAAATACATTTCACTACCCCAGGCTAGTGGGCTGACAAAATGAGGAAGTGGATTCTGTGTGTGATATTTTAAGGGGAAGGAGATGCCAAAAGCATTGCAGGAAGAAACCTATTCTTAAAGATTATTACCATGGTGTCTACCAGAGTGAGGAGTAGGTGGCATAATATTCTGAGATATAAATTCTCTGAGGCAGAACATAGAATTTTACTACCTAAATGTAATAAGATGTATTGTGCTATCAGCAAAGGCCATGGAGCTCTATGTGATTAAAATAAAAAAGGATCCAAGTATCTGCCTTTAACTACCATTTAATGATAATGATTTTTGTCTTTAGCATTTATATTGGAAATCAGGAAAGAGGCAAGCTGCAGGCTATCTGATAATAATATGAATGATAATAACTAACAATTGCCCTCTCTTCCTCCCTAATTCTTAGTAGTCTATGTTTATTTTCAAAGAAAGTCCTTTTCCTTCATCTTAGTTTATACGGTAATCGAAATATTAGTTTAAAAATTGTGTTATACACCGCATGCTGATGGAGGGAATTTGAGCATTAGATTTACATCAGAAAAGAAGACTCAGCAAAGGAGTACTGGGTATCACTCTCTTTTACATGTTAGCTCATTTATTTTTCATGACAACGCTTGAAGGTACATTATTGTCACCCATTTACTTTTATAAATGTGGAAAATTAGGCCCTATAAGCGGCTAATACATGTGATCTCACAAGCAGCCAGTAGTGACCTGGAGCTGACTTGTATTAGGTGACGAAAGCCAGTTGTGAAATACTCAGAATTTTTGCTGGTAGCATGAAATTAGCCCCAATGGGGTATTTACACCATGAAAATCAGCAGAGGCTAAAAGACAGGGGTCCAATTCTCCAGTCTTACCACCCTTCTTAGAGTGTGTTTACCAGCTTACCAAATTTCCGTGCATGGATTCAAACCCAGGTTTGCGCTATATACAAAGCACCTACTTAATTTCTTTCTTCCAAGTTTATGAAGTGTTTGGATTCCTAAAGAATTAAGAACTATCAAATTCAGAGCTTTAAAGGTGCAAGTATGGAACAGCACTTGAAGGCACTTCCCCTTAATCCTTTGTTTTAGTTTCTTCTGTGTTTTTCAAGTGTATTTGCCTTCTTCATTTGATGGAAACTTCTTGAGATTTGAAGTGCTCTGTGTATTTTGTGTTTTTCTATTGTGCCTTCTGGGGTATTTACCAGAACAATAAAATTAAGCTGGAGTGTGAAGGCGAAATTGCTGGAAAACAGGTTAAGCCAAATAGTGTTGACTTTGATTATTGCTAAGTTTTATTATTTACCTGAAATGTCATCATGAATATAGTTGCATTTTACACACTTTTATTTAATTTGCAGATTGTACCTATATTTTAAAAATTAACTTATAATCATTTCAGTCTCTACACTAAAAATATTGTACCTATATTTTAATATAGATACTACTCTATGCTACAGGCATACAAGGAGAGTGTTCAAATGATCTTGAAAATTTCAAAATAAGTGAGAAAAAAATCCTATCTTAAACTCTAAAATATAGCAAAATATCGAAATAGTGTATGAGCAATCTCCCACCTTCCTAACAAAAAGAAAATTAAAGAAATAACAATATGACCTTAAAAGACATTATTCCCATGTATTATTTTTTGGTTTTAAAATAGTATGCTTTTATGTAACTACTAAGACATTACAAAAGCCCATATAGAAATATTCATTTGCTAAAGCTAATATTTGAAAAATCACACATATGCACACAAGAGCTAAGAAATATTTATGTCCCTTTTTAATTTCAGGGGAGGCTATGGTCATGACGTAGGGAAGCGTCCTTGGATTATAGGAGATGAGATTATTGTAGGCCTTATGAAGGACATTGTAGGTAAGTAAAAAGCACAGTGAATTTTTTTCCAAAAGAATTGTAAAGATGGGGCTGGGCACAGTAGCTCACACCTGTAATCCCAGCACTTTGGGAGGCCAAGGCGGGAGGATTGCTTGAGGTCAGGAGTTCAAGAACCAGCATGGGCAACATAGTGAGACCCTCATCTCTTCAAAAAATTTTAAATTTAGCTGGGCATAGTGGCTCACGCCTATGGTCCTAGATATTCAGGAGGCTAAGATAGAAGGATACTCTTGAGCCCAGGAGTTTGAGGCTGCAGTGAACTATAATCATGCCTTGGATTCCAGCCTGGATGACCGAGTAAGATCCTGTCTCTAGAAAAAAAAAAAAGAAGAAGAAGAAGAAGAAAAGAATGTAATGGTGAACTAATACCTTTTGTATTATACTGGATGGAACTGAAGTCCATTCTTCTAAGTGAAATATCATAAGAATGGAAAAGGAAAAACAAGCACCACATGTATTCACCATTAAATTGGTACTAATTGTTTAACACTTATGTGCACATATGGAAGTTCAGGGGGCGGGTAGGTGGTGGAGGAGGAGGGTATGGGTAAATTCACACCTAAGGCATGCTGTGCACAATGTCTGGGGGATGGCACACTTGTAGCTCTGACTCAGGCGGTGCAAAGGCAATATATATAACTAAAGCATTTGTACCCCATAATATTCTGAAATAAAAAAAAAGAAAGAAAAAAACGGATTGTAAAGATAGTTAGTTATAAACATAAATTATATAGGCAAAATCTTATTGAAGAACATCCTGATTTTGTGTTTTAACCTTTACCAGTCAAAGGTGAGTATACCTTTAACTTAGACTGTTCATTCAAAGATTGCTATAAAATAATGAACATAACCAGGTTGTTTGATAGGAAAATAAAATATTTGTGATATTATTTTTTCTCGTATATATATATATATTTTTTTGAGACAGAGTCTCACTGTGTTGCCCTGGCTAGAGTGCCATGGCATCATCCTAGCTTACAGCAACCTCAAACTCCTGGGCTCAAGTGATCCTCCTGCCTCAGCCTCCCGAGTAGCTGGGACTACAGGCATGCGCCACCATGCCCGGCTAATTTTTTCTCTATATATTTTAGTTGTCCAGATAGTTTCTTTCTATTTTTTCTTTTTTCTTTTAGTAGAGACGGGGTCTCGCTCTTGCTCAGGCTGGTCTCGAACTCCTGAGCTCAAACAATCCGCCCGCCTCGGCCTCCCAGAGTGCTAGGATTACAGGCGTGAGCCACCACTCCCGGCCTCTCATATATTTTAAAAGTGATATTTACCATCCCATGAAAAATAGATGCATTGTGTTAATTTATAATTAAACAAATTTCATAAAAATCAACTGAAATCAATTTTCTATAATTTCACTATATGATAAAATGAACGCTTATCTTCACATGATAAAGGTGTGAAACGCCAATCATGTTTTGACTCATTTTAGTTTAATCCTTGGTGATCAATTTAAGCATAGACTTAGTGTTATTGAAAATAATATAGCTGATGCTGTTTTGGTCTGTAATGTGTTTCCTGAAGTGAGTTATATATACTATTGGTGGTATTCGAGATAGTTTTAGATGGTAAATGTATTCACTCTTGAAAAAAGTTTTTTATTTAATGGGATTGAGTATTCAACATGGTCTGAAATCATGTGAAATTTAGAGTACTGAAAAAACATTAATGATATTTTAGCAATTAGAGGGTGTTATTTAGAAATATTTGAAGGCCTTAGGAAAATCCCAACTTTCAAAATGCTTTTTTAAATCTCATTCCCCCATAAGCAATTATAAAAATATTTTTATTGCTTCATACCACTTGAATCTTGGCCAATAATCAGAAGACAAAATCAACTTGGGCTGGAAGAGAAATGGAATTAGAGTAGGGAAAGTTGGACTTACATGTAGAAAAAACTATGGCAACTGGCAAATCATTAAAATCTGGAGAATATCTTGTTTGTTTAAAAAATAATCATTGACCCTCTGCTGTATGTCAGGACTTGCGGCAGGCACTGTGGACGTTAAGGTCAATAAGAACACTTGCCATCCTATCCTCATGGGACTCTCGGTAAAGGAAGATACAAAGACGTAAAATTAATATATGTACATAATCAAGTAAAATACAAAGAAATATAAAATTAATTATTGTGATCCACATTACAGAAGAGACATAATTTTCCAGTTGATGGAGGACTGAACGTATGCATTTAATTACTTTTTTTTTCTGAAATCTAAGGAATTCTTAATGTAATTAGAAAATATTTAAAAATTCTAAACCCCAAAGGCCAAACTGAAATGGTAAAGGACATGGTAGCCAGCAAATCTGGGGAGCTGGCTAGCAGGTAGACAAGTACTAACTGCTTAGTCTAAAAAATGAAACAAAATGAAAACAAAAAGTAAACCAAATCCTTATCTCCCAATGGGAAAAAAATGAAAAGCCACCTGCTTTATCTTGCAGATCCTTCAAAGGCTTGAGAATTATTCAAATTAAGCCTCTCTAGAAGTAGAGATGAAAATAGGAGTAAAAAGAGATTTGTTGACAATCTGTCTAAAATGTAATTAGGATACCACATCCCATTGCCCACTCGATGCTGCCAGGTGAATCCTCCTATACCGCTACTCCAGGAGAAGACTGGAGGGTTAGTCACTGGATAAGGGAGAAGAAAAGTCCCAGGTGAGGACATGTATACTTATTAGTCAGCTCAGGCACCATAACAAAACACCACAGACAACATAGATTAAACAATAGAAATTTATTTTTTCACAGTTCTGGAAACTGGAAGTCCACGTTCAAGGTGCCCTCAGGGTTGATTTCTGGTGAGGGCTCTCTGGCTTGCCGATGGCTACCTCCTCACTATGCCCTCACGTGGCCTTTCTTTGTGCACTGGGGGAGAGAAAGATCTTTGGTTTTCCTCCCTCTTTTTCTAAGGGCACCAGTCTTACTGGATTAGGTCCACGCTCTTATGACCTCATTTAACTTTAGTTAACAATCTATAGGCCCATCTCCAAATATACTCACAATGGAGATGAGGGCTTCAACATATGAATTTGGGGAAACACAACTCAGTCCATAACATATAACATAGTGAAAACGAAAGGGTTAAATTAATGTTTAACAACTTGTAATCTAATTTAGCTGCTAGTACCTGTGCAGGAGACTGGACAAGTCTCTGTGATATCTGGGCCACCTAAAGAGTCTGACATGGGGAAGTTTCTTGGCACAGTGACCCATCATGTACACAGAGGAGAACACGTTCATGTTTAACACACCCAAATTACAGGAAAATCTGTTTTTTGTTTATGAACCATATAAATATGTTAACCTAATTTTAAAAAAACCCCAATAGAAAAGTTGTAAGCAAAAGTTCCATTTTCTACTAGATATTATTGAGGAATCATTATAGTATACAAATTTGTTTTATATGCTATATTGTAGAATCAGAATATCAACTTCTATTATAATTTAAGATAAAAGTTGAGTACAAGCTGAAAAGGCTCCCTTGGACAGAAAAAAGTTAAATTAACAAATATATAGCAATAGTAAAAAAAAAAAAAAAAATTAAATAGAAATCTCCATAGACCCGAAATAGAGCCATTACTGAAGCAAGGAGAATTTGGAAGCCTGGACATGCAGTGTTTTGGGGGCAGCACATGGAATCAGACTCCGTGTGTAGGACCTGAGTCAAGACTTGCATAAGAAGCCCCAGAGGGAATCTGTGCAGCCCTAGATGCTTGGGTCTGTGCCAAGGGCCAGAGTCTTTGTCAGCCAGGTCCAGTATGAGCTGCTGCCATACCAGTAGGTTCTCAGGAACACAGAGCTTGATCTGGCTGTCAGAATTATCTTGAGGACTGTATATTCTGATGGAGGAAATTCCCACCTGAACAATCCTGGGTTGCGTTTAAAGGTGTGTTAAATAGTTGGTTAATAAACCCTTCATTTGTTTTTATTCTTTAGCAGGCAATTATATTCATTCAAATGTCTAACACGTAAACAAAAACCCTGAAAAAAAAATCCACAATTAATTCAACCGGAGAATGTATATTTTCCTTAGCTGTAGCTGTGGATTTTTTTTTTTTTTACCTCTGTATTAGGTTTGCTTTCAGAACATAAACTGCATTCTAATCTTGTTATTTTGTGCTTAATATTTATCATCCTGTAAGGAGGAGTTAGGATGTTTATATACAGGCTAGGGAAGTGGTAAGGTGATATTATTCAGTGAGATTTATTTATGAAGCCAATAAACCCTGCAAAAACATTTCCTTCGACCATTTAAAAGTTTACAGCTCTATTGCAACTTATTAAATGTGTAAGTGTTTTGTTGCCCAGTAAATACACGTATGTCACATAAAGATCCTTGAAATTTCAGACCAACCACCTCATTATTGTTACTAAGGAAAGGAAAAAAAAAAAAGACTGTAAATCTTGTCTTGTTTAGAAAAGTAAAGGGACTGAATTTATTTTAAATCTTTAAAAGAAAATTTGTCAACCCTAGCTGTAGGGTTTTTTCGCTTGTCTTTGAAATACCATGCAGAGTGAAACAATTTATATTTTGGCTCACAAGACTATCCCTACTTCAGACACCAGTCAAAAGTCCCAGGAGACACCCATACTTCTGATCGACAAGCTGTAAATTCAGGGATTTCCACTACAACATACTTGGGTTCCCTAATTTGCAAGAGTAGCTCACAGCACTCAGGAAAACACTTTATAAATTTATTATAAAGGACACAACTCAGGCACAGCCAATGGAAGAGATGCATAGGTCAAGGTAATGGTGGGAGGACCCAGAGGCATGGAGCTTCCATGCCTTCTCTGAGCAGGTCACCCTCTCAGCACTCAGAGGTGCTTTCCTACCCATATGGGCTCTGAGTGCCATTGTTCAATTTCCAGCTCTCCTTCTGGCCCAGTAGGCCAGTGGGTGGAGCTGAAAGTTCCAATCCTCTAATCCCTCTAATCTCTTGTTCTTTCTGGTGACCAGCCCCATCCTG